CCTGTGGGCGTCACCGATGCATCTACAGCATCCAGACGCCGACTATATTCTAGCTGGCTGTGAGTATCTGGCGGAGCTGGTGCTGCGCTTGGAGACAGACAGCACGTTGTCTCTAATTTCCCGCAAGCCGGGCGGCGGGGTGACCAACAAACGCTACAAGTGCCAAGTCAGCAAGACAGAGTTCCAAGTGAAGCCTCTGACCGAGGGTGCCGACACGACGACTTCACCTGCTACCACAATACAGGAGACGCCAGATAATGCCTCTGATCCTGGTCGCACCTTCAAAATTGAATTGGATGAGGATGAAGTTGTGGCGCGCAATGCGCTCACATTACCATATGAACGGTTAGTTTGCGGAATTGCTCATTAAACAATTCACTAATCCTCTATGACCCTCGCAGCACCAGTGAAGCGGAGGACGGCAACATCATCTATACACCAGATGCCAATGATGACTTCGATGAGGAGGATCCGGATGAGGATTTGTTAATTTAAAATGTGCTCGCATAGCGAACGGCAGTACAAATGGCCTTGGCTTTAAATACTTAAGTCTAATATACAAATACATCCATTGAATATATACATACCTTGTAAGCGAGCTCAAACAACTGAAATTCGGGTCGCAAATGAAACCAATCATATAGTTGCATAGTTCAAAAGTTTATACTAAACGGTAGAGATATACGAATATGTCCAGTGTTACAATTGCATCGCATAGTTACTTAAACGCTAACAATAATAATGTTTGTAATACTCATTAAAAACTTGCGAGCATTCAAGATGCAAGTCCCCAAACTCATCCCCATCTTACACATATCACAACATTATAAAAGAAGCAGAGATTTGAGTTGAATCCGAATTTGAAAGAGTTTGAAAAGTGTGCAGAAGATTGAAGGCAAAACACTTAAGATTAAGGTGACGAAAGCGAAAGTTAATATGCTCTTGCATAAGCTCATTATCATAATGGACGATTCTGTATATAAGGTAATTGTTGGTATTCTATCTAGTTAAATTTGTTGATATATATACAGATCTATTTGAAACTACAGATTGCAGTATAATAATAAGATTTCCTAATGGAAATCGCATTTCTTCTCAAGTTTAAGCTCAGGTGCATAAAATTAACATTGGAATCTAAAACTAAATAAAAATCGTGTATCGAGGCTTATGCAAGGGTCGAGTTAACTCTCAATTAATTTCTGTTCTGTGTGCGTTGAGCATAATATTGGATCTAAAAGGGTCTTATCGAAAATATGATTATTAAGTATTCATACGAGATGGTTAAAAAACACATGGAGCGAGAGACATTCACAACTATGTACAAAAACAATATGAATAACAAATGGTAAAAAAAACTTCATCAATGGCTGCGTTTACGAAAATGGCTATAACAAATGACTCTAAGACGGCCTGTCTGGCCCAATCTATCTATCGGCGCTTGAGCAGCGGCTACATGTCGCTCTTGGGGTCCGGAGCCAGCGAGCTCCAGGCGGTGTCTCGACATAGCGGCAGCTCCGGCAGCACGCTAGATCCGTCCACAATGCAGGTTTCACGTAGTAGAAAGAATTTGCCAACCAAATCATCGATCCGGCTGTACAAAGGCTGACCAATGAGTTCAGCATGAGCCGATGCCTCTTCGAGTAGGGTCTTGACTTCGTTCACGCTGGGCAGATGCTGCTGCCACTCCGCGGGCATCTCAAAGTTATCGGGCAGCGACACAGCTTGACCACCGTTCTGAGCACGTGCAGCCGCTGCAGTATGAATGGGCTCACCCTTGGCGTAGGCCAGTGGAGCGACTAGAAACTTGAGCTGCGCATAGATGGAGGTGCGTCCAATTAGCTTGGCTGTCCAGATGCCGGGCGTAAGCGGCCGCTTGAGCAGCGTTTTGGAGTAGTTAATAACATCGACTTGAGAGTCCTCCACATGCAGCTCATTGAAGTCTTGCAGTCGATCGAATGGATCCAGCCAGATCAGCGTCAAATTGTACGAATGCGATGTGTCCTGTGAGCCAGCGACTCCCTGATATGTATAGCTCAGCATTAGATCGCTGTGTGGTCCCAACAGCTTGGCGAAGTTACGCGCCACCTGCTCCTTCTGGTCGAAGTCCGTGGAGACCTCAAAGTTGCGCAGGCGCTTGGTAACACGTGAATTTTTCGCCACTTTGCCGTGCTGCACCGGCCGCACACGCGACTCCAGCTGCAGCTCCTTGGAAGTGTTCCTTGCCAGGGCGCTGTAGCGCACTAGGAATCCCTTGTACTGATCCCGATGTAGGTAGTGCGTTAGCTCCAGCAGCTGCACTGCATCCAGCTTGAACTGTTGCGCAGAGAGGCGCATTAGGCTGTCGCCAACTGTGCGCGCCAGATCATCGCCAGCGCCGTGAACATCCTCGTGGTGGTAGAGCGACTGCCAGTAGCCACGTAGATTCACATACTCGCTGGTGTAGGGCCCAAAGAGCCACTCCTCCAGCTGCAGCAGCACCGCCTGATTGATAATCGGCTCGAATTTGCGCGCGAAGAACAGTGACTTCGACGCGGTGGACTGCAGCCGCGGCCAGTCTTCAGGCTTGAAGTCATTCGGACTGCAGCCGCACCAGTCCACCACGTGCTTGTACTGGCACTTGCAGCCCTGCTTGCGTTTCCAGTTGGTCACATGCAGATTGTTGTCCACATAGGTATCGCAATGCTGCGTGTTGCGCAGCACCGTGTGGAAGAAGGATTCGGCGGGCAGCAGGGTGTGCCGAAACAGGTGCAGCAATGCCTGCAGCAGCTCGTCATCTATTGCCGGGTGCGTTACATAGTTAACGAATGGACGGGATAGCGCCACCCAGTCGCTGCCACCATCCACCTGTATTCCGGCTGGCAGCTTGCGATCGCCAATGCGCCACATATGCGTATCGCACTCCACGAACGTCTTGTCCAGGCCCTGCTTCTGTATGAAGCGTTGCGTCTCACGGCCATGGCCTTTGACAAAGTTACGGCCACGATTGGCGCTCAAAAATTCAACCAGCTTGTCCAGCGTCTTCACGGGAAAATCACTTTCGCTCAAATTGATGACGAAGTCCCACTCCCAGCTGGACTGCAGCAAATCCTGCATGCACTGCAGCAGCATGGTCAGCAGCGAGGCGCCGCCCCAAATTGTCGAGAAACGCTTTCGAGCTAAACGTATATTGGGAAACTTTGGCTCCAGCTCCAGCAATTTGCGATACAGATAATCCTGACGCTGTGGAGAGAAAATGAGTCTTAGTGGAAGTTTGTAAATGCATTTGAGAGGTATTCTAAGTCAGTACATCTAAGATTGCTATAAATCAAGTTTATAAGGCTTTAAGTTAATATCTAATACATAAAAACATTGTATACATATTCAGCAGAGCGCCACTGTATGTATTCTCAGTAACTTTATATCACGCTTATCATATTACCCTATATCTTGTATATCATACATATACTTGTTCATTCAGACTCAAATTCTACAACCGATTTCGCTGCCCCAGCTGCGAGGCGTTAAATTTCGTGTAATTAACACAAATTGTTGAACTGGCTTTAATTACGAAATCCGGTGGCATTGCTTCACCTCCGCACCGCCTTCGCTTTGCTCGACCACTCACCGCATCCACGTGTATGTAGTAAATGTGCTGGGGCGCATATAAAGCGCGCAGCAGTCGGTGGACCTGGCGAAGGGCGCGACCGTTCAATGTCAGCAGAAATGCAATGCGAACGGCTCGTTGTTCTTGCCCCGGTGCTGGAGTGCTGGCTGCCAATTGTGGCGTAAATTCTGCAAAGGATTAGGATATTAGGATATTGTATAAGTCAAAAATATACTATTAGATGAATAAGTCATTTCACTTACTGGCAATGCCCGTTTCATAGACATTCATGGCATAGATGCCGCCACAGATTTCCTTGGCGTTGCCTATGCATTTCATATTGCAACTGGAGTCGGCTAGTTTGGCGGAGCTGGGCGGCGTGTCGAAGCCGCAGAAGCATTCGCGGGCGTATTGCACACCCGCGTACGGGTAGCCGGACTGCAGGCAGAGCTCCACACAACTGCCCGGTGAATTGGACGTTTTGAAGCTGGTAAAGTAACCGCCCAGCAGGCGTGAATCCTTCTCGTCGCGATAGCAACCCAGTGATACATTGGCTCTATGGTTGCCTGCCGGACAGCTGCTCTGAAGATGGGTCGCATAGAAGCGTCCGGCTTGAATGGCACAGGCTATGCTGGCGATATGTTGGCGGCAGTCTTTCGTCTTGGCACGCTGCAGTGCCGATATTGCTTCCTTGGCATTGATATCACATTCGGGCTCGAAACCCAGTTCCTTAGAAGTTATGCGTAAGTGCTTAGCCCCAGCCTGCACAGGAGCTGGCGGAGCAACGGGCTCTGGTGGCGGCTCTTCCGCTTCCCGAGCATCACGATGCGTGCGCAATGCGCCCGCCAAATCAAGCTCAACCGATTTGTAGGCCAGAAATAGTTGGATGGCAACAATTAAAAGTAATATTACAAAGCAGACACGATAACGCCGCAGCCATCGCACGGATAGTGATGACTTTTGCTCCATGGCCAGCTCTGAAGATGCGCACGTTGGTTGTGGCAGTTGACCCGCGTGCTAATGCTTGTGGCTCTCGTAGTTCTATGGTTGCGATGCAGTGGCATGTCCAGCGCTTCTATTATTAGTGCGAGCGTTAAGCTTAACTAACATTTATAACTATTTACAATCGCTGTAAATAGCTACAATTCACTCAAAACACTCCCGCATTCCACTTAGAATACTGATTCCGTGCCTAACTAATATATCGATAGCTACGATAGGCTTCACGATATTTTTACATCTCATTTTATTTTCAGTAGCGATATTCCATTGCGCTTTGTATGCTGTTCATGTTTATTGTGAGCAAAGCAACAGCGGACATAAGGTAGATTTAGAAGTGTGACCAGGTTAAGTCATTAGGTATTCCGGCAACACCTAGATAGTTGAACTAATTATAAATTATTCAAAGAAATAGAGACACTGTGCTTAGTCCCTTTAAAATTAATCTTGAATCTATAGGACTGCTGACTGCTGATTGCCAAGCCCTAGTTAATACTTCTCGAATTTTTGGCTTGCTCTGCGATCAGCATACTAAGCACTAAGCGACAACAAACGTTTTCAACAATGGTTGATCCAAATCGTAAAATCAACAGACTCTCCGACAAAGATATTAGCTTTTTAGAAGAATGCGAGGAAGAGTTCGGTGCACGCTACACAGAAGATGATGTCGAATTTATGGCGCATTGCGCTAAGCCGGTGCCGGATCCGCCAGTAATAGAGAATTGGTTATGTGGTAGGAGTTCACCTGGTCTTGGAGGTGGCCCCTTTTTCAGCCTATACAATTATAATGGCGAACAGCGTCGAGGAGGCGGCGCTCGTGGATGGCAGAGACGTGGTTACAACAATCACAACAGCCACAACAGCAACAAAGATCGCAGAGGTAAACAAATTAGATGTATAGAAAATCGAAATTCACTAACCAGTTCTATCTATAGATCACCGACGCAACAGATATGAATCGTATCCACGCAGAGACCGAGGTGACGGTGACGGAGGAAACAGATCCTCGGAGCGCAACTATCAGCATAGAAGCCGCAATGAGCCACAGCAAGGCGGTTCGCCCATGCAGGTCAGGCGGGACTATGGAAACTTTGTGCCTGCCTCCAAGGACTAGCGTTAAACCTACCTGTTTCGTTGCTCATCATAATAAAAACAATAGCACTCATACACAGATATTTATATGTATATTATATATAGATGTATAATTCGAATTTAAATGTGATTTTAATCTTAATATCTAGTTGATAAGTTCCTGTTTGTGCCTTAGACAGCCGACTCTGATAGATCCTTGGCCTTCTCATCTGTTGCCGCTGCCGACATGCCCACGCCCATGGCATTAAATAGATTGGACACGGGACCAGCGCCGCCCATTTGTGATTTATAGCTATCCATCATGTTGCGCAGCGTGTTCACGTTAATATTTATGGGCTCGAAGTCCTCAATGTCATCGAAATCATCCTCCGCAGTATGGTGCTGCTCCGTTGAGTTAGTAGCTGTGCTACTCTTGGCATGGAACGACTTGCCAATGGTTGTCTGAGCCAGTTCCCGATCCATTTGCTCCATGTACGCCTTGATATTACGATCCAATCGATAGTTGGCGTCGCCGCCACCGCTGGCATTGGACAACTCATCGAAGTTACGCTCTATATCCTCCTCGTCCGCATAGTCACTCATCTCGGAAGTGGAGTCCCAGTTGTCCTCGGGTATCACAAAGTCCAGAAAATTGCGCACATGGGTGCTGTCCTGTTCATCAGATTGAATCAAGGAGTTGCGCTTGCAAGCCTTCCTCATCGAAGCGTTCTTTTTCACCTTTGCATTGCTGCTGGTCGCACTTGCTGGCGCCGGCGGCTCGTCGTCGTCTGAGTCGAGCTCGTCAACGGGTTCACCCGGCCCTTCAATACCTTCAAAGTTGGATTGCCTGTCTAAGAACTGAGACAGATGCTTTGTGAATTCCTCTGCATTCATGTCGCCGTTGGGATTGTATAGCTTTTGTGGACCATAGCGCTGCTGCAGCATTGCATCCAGATCCTCGGCTGTGATGTTCAGCCAATCATCCGAATCGCTGGGCAGCAGATTATTCTCTTCGTCCCGAAGGAGCTCCGCGGCGTTGCCTTCGGCAGGATGCAACAGCATATCCACTATTTCGGCGCCCACCAACGGCGCCGTGCGAAAGCGTTCCTGGTTGCACTTAAAGTACTCCTTGGCTGTGGCCAACAGACGTTCATACTCCGCACTGCCCTCGATGTTGTCCCGGAAGTAGCCCTTGCCTTGCAAACTGCGCAGATATGCACGCCAGGCAGGTGATTTGTCGTCCAGCTGGTCACCAGCTCGTTTCGCCTGGCTGGCAAGTATTTCCAATCCGCTGGCCAGCTTTACGCCCAACAGCTGTTCCTTGTAGCACTCTGGATTGGCAACGGCGTCCGTCAATTGCCAACCCAGTCGGCGCTCCGGTGTATATTGACTATGCATTATCATGGCATACAGATAGCGAGTGAAGGCAACATTTGTGCGCTTCCGTGGCGTTTCAGGTGGAAAGTAGCGCATGCTACGCAATGCCTTTGAGTCGATTGCATCTCTCTCACAGAAGGCGCGTACAGCGGATGCGACTAGACCAGGTCGTTGCTTAAGTAATTGTGCCGCATTCTGGGGCAGCTGTACGATTTGCCGATGAATGGATGCGTGAGGCTTTGCTGGCTGAAATTCCTGTAGACGTGCCTCAATGCAGTTCTGAATGTCACGGGAACAGCGGTAAAGAGTGGGATTTAGACGTATGCGCTGCACTGCTTTAGCCATGGGCATTCGTTTGCTGTCGCTGGTGTTGGATGCATTCTGCAACAGCTGCAGCCCGCCATTGACAAGGTAGACGCGCTGCTCACACGTCTCGGGACTCGCCCAGTCGGGCAGCACATCGGCTGCCTCGATAAGCAGAAACTCGCCGTCGCCATCGAAGACGCGCCCTATGCAGTCCGGTCGCGAGCGGGTCAATTCGCTCAAGAGATAGACAATGAACCACTCGTCGCCAATATTGTCGCCATAATGCGTGACGCCGTGCAAATGGGGCGGAAGAATACCTAAAATCGAGTGAAATTTGCTATAGCTAAATATAGATCTACATTAATAATATTCACTTACCCTCGGGCTCTTCCTCCCCCTCCTGCTTGTTGTCTTCCTCGTTGAGCAGCCGTTCCTCGGCACTGCCCGTGCGCACTTGCAGCTGAAATTCATCCTTGTTCCATATATAACAGCGTTCCGCCACTTTCTTCTCCACAATGGACATGCAGTCCGCACGCACTTGTTCTAGCTGCTGACGCACTTGCTCATCACTTGCTTTTTCATCAATGTCATCTAGCTTGGGAAATATATAGTACTCGACAAAGTCGTCCTCGCGCACGAACTCCAAGTTGGCACCTGGCAGCTTGTTCATTGTCTTTGTTGTCTGCCTTTGTTTTGGTCTCAGTGACTCAGCCGCAGGCCCAGAGGAGTGTGTATCCCTTGTGTGCGCTGTTGGTTGCCAAAAACAGCTAGAGTTTTATTTACCCAATAAATATCCAACAAAAGACACTTTTAGTGAAAATCGCAACAGTTTTTACATAAATTTTCATTTATTATTGGTAAAATGTTCTTTTTTTATTAGAACGGGAGCTGTTGCTGTGACCACTCGCAATGATATCGACAAATCACCGATAACGATAACCATTTCGATAGATCAACCAATTTCTTTTAACGTGTAATAGTTTACTTGAATTTTAAAACGGTATAGAGGACCAGTTTATTGCATAAAATTCCTAAATTTTTTCTTTTAATCTAAGCGAGACGTATAAATATATAAATGCTTATTGAGCTTCTTATCTGTTACAGTTCATGGATAATTGACATGCGGATCAATAAAAATATTCATATTTCTGGGCATGCAGCAGCATCACCTCCATGGACTTCTTGCCTTGCAGCACTCCATTGCGTTCCATGTAGTTCCAAATCGATGCCATAAACAGACAGAATAATATGACGCCAAATACGATAAATTTGAGTAGTACATAAATCGTCTGAAGTCCAACCGGAGGATCAAATTCAATCAGGAGTACAAGGATTACAAATAGAACAGTCGCTGCACTATAATATAATAGACGATCAGTATTCAACTGCAAGAGGGAAGCTTCGCATAGAGCCAGTGCCTCATTCAACGCTGCTGTGCGAGCAGCAGGCAAGGATTGGGCATTAGCTGTGCAGCCATTGCCATTGACTGCTTCAGTTCCTCTTATTGCACCGCCAACATCATCTGCCGGGCAAACATCTTCAACTATATTGCACTCAACATCTTCCGTATTTACACCATTTTCGATTGCTGCTGCTTTGCGTCCAGACGACGTTGGCAGACGGGTAAGTCTTAGTTTAGCCAGCACAGCTTCATGATCCGAGTAACTGAACTTCTGTCCAGGCACACGCTCTGGGAATGGTAGTGTATATTCAATTATATCTGCCTTGATATTATCAGCGCCCCTCACGAAAATATGATCAATCCGTATGCCCAAGGGATTCTTGGCCAGCGCACTTGCCGATGTGTACGAGTTCCTGCTGCACTCATTGGTCCGAAACGAGTCGGAGACACAGCTGTCTGTCATCTTCGAGGTGAGCAGCAGCACCTTATAAGTAATGTCCTGAGGTTGAGTATTGAGATCACCAGCCAGTATCTGGAGCACCGAGGTACCGCGCGTAGCTTCTATGAATTGGGCCGTGTCGAATGCCTGTATCACACGATGCGTTTTGTATTCATCGTTGTCGTTGTCGTATTCGGCATGCAAATGGGCGTTGTACAGATGAATGATTTGATCCTTGACCAGGATGCGACAAAGGCCTACGCCCTTGCCACCAAACCAATCGGCGTGCTGTATGCGATGGAAGTAGCCGTTGACAGACCAGGCATGGAATAGCGTACCCAAGATTGGATACTTGGAGAGCACCAGCAGGCCTGCGCCCATGACACCACTGTGAAAGTAATGGGAATAGGGCAGGACACTGGCCGTGCCCTGCTGGAGTTGCTCGCTGTCATGCTGTGACCAGACTTCCTGCAAGGACACTATGTCATACTGACCGCTGCTCAATTCTTTGCTGATGGCCTCGATACGTGGCGCGCGGTTGCTGGAGACAAGTGGAATGCCCCTGAAGTGTATGCAATTGCAAATTATAATTGGATTTAGGCGAGACAAGGCAAGGCGAAACGGTTTTGGCCGCGTGACCAAACTGAGAAAAACATACCATATGTTCAGCGTTAGAATTTTTAGCTCCAATAGCAGCATTTTGATATGTGTCGTGTTTATGACTGCCTCATCAGCTATCACTGGCGTACTTCGTACGCCTGCCGCGACGCGATAAGATTAAAATGTTGTTTCCAAACAAATCAGCTAAACATTTGTGGTCAGCGCATTTCTTGTTGAGCGCAATTTTGAGCGCAGTGAAGTTGGCTGCGCGCAACTAATTTGCCCACGTGAAGTTGGCTGTGCGCAGTTGTGGGTGCTGAAACATGGAAGAGCACATGAAACGAGAATAATAATTTAAATTTATTCGGAAAACAAATCAAACAGTCAAATATGGCACGAACGGAACTCGAAATGAAAAAGCAAAAGCGTAAAGCCAAAAAACGCAAACATGAAACTCAGGCAGGCCCGAGTGACGACGAGGTGGCCAACAAAAGTTTAATTGTGGAGGATCAGGTAGCGGCAGGAACTCAAAAAGAAGAAAAACAGGCCAAAAAAAGTATGAAACTCGATATATACATATGTATATATATGTTTTAATTGACCTATCGTTATTTACAGACAAAGCTGCCAAGCGCAGACAACAATCAGACCAAGACGCCATCAAGGAAAAACGTAGTAAGCAAATAGAAGAGCCTGAAGAAGACGCCGTAGAAGATGAGGAGCTGGATGACATGCCCACAGCAGACCAGCTGGAGCAGGCAGCTAAGCCAGAGAATTCAAATGCCATTGTAACGGTACGACAGAAGAAAAAACAAAAACACTTGCAACGGCTGGAGGAGCAAAAAGACCAGAATGCCGATAAGGAAAGCAAACGTAATGAAGAGTATCTTAGGAAGTGGCGGGACAGTCGACAAGATTGGAAGTTTGAGAAGCTGCGACAGATTTCCATACAGCAAACCGCCTTCAATGAGAAAAAACTGAGTGCCGATATATGGCCCATCGCCTTGGAGTATCTGGCGGGCTCTAAGGGCGCCGCGAAAGCAACCATCATCAAATTGGCCGAAGACGCCATACAGGAGATGGACAAGCAGTGTGAGGAGCTCAGCGAAGAGGCGGAGCGACAGGAAATCGTTGATTCCGTACGATATCAGAGAGCTCGCAACTTGTTACAGAGTTTCGACTAATCGTTAGTTTATAGTTTCAATAGAATAGGCTAAATGCGTTGTTAATTATTAAGAGTTTAATAAACATTAAGCAAAATGTTGTAATTTACAAATCTACATAAGCCAATAGCTTGTCCAGGTGCTCGATGCGCTGTCGCAGAAGCTGTTGCTGCTCCTCCTTGTGATCCTCCAGCTTCTCGAGCATAAAGTGCTGCATGAATAAGCGAATACTCTGCTTGAACTGCTGCAGCTTCGAGTTCTTGGTTACTCGCTCGAATGCCTGATAGAGTTGACTCTCCTCGCTGGACAGCAGCAGCCGCGTCATGATCTCGCGCATAAAATAAAAACTAAGTTTATGCAGCTGCATAAAGTCCACAACTTTCAGTACGGACAGCTGCAGGCCAGACGAAAGGATCAGCTGCTGCAGGAAGCTGGCGAAGTTGCGTATCTGAATTTTTGAAAGGGATTCAATGTCATTGATACGATCCCAGCTGGCGAACTGAAAGGCCAGCTGAAACTTGCGATTGTATTGACAGAATTTCAATGCGAGGTGGGCATAGTAGGGATTCGCATGTCGCTCATTCAGCGCACAGTGTATGATCACATAGGCAACGGTTCGCTGATCTTTCAGGGATAAATGTAGAATCTTTTCGAATGCATCCACATAGTCGGCGGCACTCATGATAATACAGAAGATGCTGCGACGCTCGGCTGTGTTCATATGCTGTTTCTTGGCCAGCTGCAGTAGCTTTTCCGAGTAACGCTCCCCTCGTGCTTGCTGTTGTTGCTTCTCTTGCTCCGCTTGTGCCGGGCCCATTTCGGCCAAATTTCCCGCCCATGCCGATCCAACTATCCACCATTTGCCAAGCTTATCGGCACGCAGTAGATCCTCCAGGGTGATATTCAGTGTGACTACATAACGATCATTGCGTAGCATTCCCTTAAGGCGCTTTCGAAGCGTTTCTGCCAGCTCAGGATCATACTGAGGCAACTTGCTCATGTTGTTGTTCTTCACGGCATTGAGAATGTCAACCATAAAGCGTAAGCGAGGATTCTCCTTTAGCTCCAATGGCGATGACGCGATTTGCGACTGCACGTTCTGCATCATGTTCTTAAAGGCCAATGGATCGTCTTTGCGTAACCGAAATCCAACGGTTTGGAATATCAGGAGCAGACACTCAACTGACTTCTCACACAGGCTACCCGCAAGACGAGCAATCAGCTCCAGTAGCAAGCGCTGCTCGTAGATCTTAAAGATGTACATGTAACAGAGAACGAGCACCAAATTATTTAGACGCTTATCCTCCACCTCCAATGTGTCAATCTCCTTCACAAAGCCATCGAATTGTTCGACGAAAGTTTGCAAAAAATGCGCACCGATCTCGCTGCCAATGTGAGCATGCAGAAATGCTAGCAACACCATGTGCTCCTGCACCATGCGCTCGTTGGCACGTGATCGACCGAGCAATGCCTCCTGCATCAGTCTTGTGAGCGTTTCATTCATGTTGTAGCGGGAGTTCTTCATGTATAACGTTTCGATGCCACTAGAAATCTTGTGAAGGTTCGCCTCGGACAGACGGTTGAGCAAACCCTTGCATTGTTTCTGCAGGCGTGCCAGTTGCTCCGCCTGTTGGGCGCTGGAGCCCTCGCTGGCGGCGAGTAGCGCGCGTTGATGTGGAGGTATATATTTCTGCCCGGTCACCTTAGCCTCCACCTCTGCAGTATCAGGTACAATGTTGCCCTCGGCATCAAGGCGACGACCGTAAATGTCTTCCTTGTCTGAAAAATTAACATAATTAATTGATTTAGAAAAAAAATCAAAATTCTTGTATAAATACATTTTGTCTCTTTCGTTACTGTGTCCTGTTCGTTTTCACTATTTGATTCAAAGTCTTCTGCGTCCTCCTCCACTTCATCTTCATCCGTCAACGGGTCATCGGCATCATCTTCCTCCATTTCGCTATCCTCGCCTGGCATATCCATTGGCTCATCTTCTTCGTCGCTCCACATACCTGCTTCTTCCTTCGCCTGCTGTTCCTTAAGCTCCTTCTTACGACGTTGTTTCTCCTCCCATTTCTGCTTCTCTTCCTCGTCGTCCAACACGAAATCAAGCAAATAGTCCAATCCATCGTTGAACATTTTGCGTACCGAACGATTCTTGTCCTTGGTCTTATTGAGCTTCAGTTTTTTCTCAAGCTTGGCAATTTCCTTATCCTCCTCTTCATTCTCTAGCTTCAATTGCTTCATTCGCTGCTTCCGCGATTTGTTGAGCAGCTCTTTTTGTTGCCGCAACTCTCGATTCCGTACTTCCACCTCGTCTTGCCGCTGGATGCCCGCGTGCTTCTTAGGCTTCTTGCTTACTAGGTCGTATATCTCTACTTTGCGAGCTGCCGGCAAGCGAGCATCCACTTCCGCATCACTGAAATCCGAGCCAATTGATTCATCATCATCCTCGTCTACTTCGCCGGCCAGCAGCTCTTCCCGAGAAATTTCTTCTGGTTTTAGCTGCTTCTTTTTGGGTTTTTTCTTTTTCTTGACAGTTTTACTCGCTGCTAATGCCGCAGCCGCTGCCGCCTCGGCTACACGTTGGGCGCCATTTACCTTGTCCGCATGGTAGATCCTCTTGTTATTTTTTTTCGTCTCCTGCTTTAGCTTGCGCAGTTCCTTGCGGCTGAGCGGCTTTTTAGGTGGCTGCGCTCCCGTCTTTTTCAACTTGACCATGTCAAAATAAAAACACTTTCAAATCGTTTTGTTAGTGTTGCCAAATCAGCTGTGCTCAACACGTGTGTAGGATTTTTTAGTACATTCTGCTGTGCAGGTTGATACATTTTCCAGGAAAAACAGCTGAGAGCCGTTTGCCACTGAATTGTAATTTTGTTTTCTGTTTTGAATTACAACATAAAAGTTGAACTATGTCCACGCGGTGGTATCCAATTTATCAACGCGGCAATCCACAATTGCGCGTATTCCTGCCGAACTTTTGGATGAAACTAGTACGACCAACAGAAGAACAGCCGGCTAATGTTGTTACCTTCGCTGTGTCCACGGAGATGACCAAGTATGATGTTAAAAACTATTTGGAAAAGATTTATAAGCTGCCCGTGGTAGATGTCCGCACACGAATCGCGTTGGGTGAGACTAAACGTGATCAAACCTACGGCTATGTGACAAAGAAAGACGATGTCAAATATGCTTATGTAACCATGGTGAGTGGACTATTGGAAACTTTACTGCAGGGCATGATATAATTTCTTCTTTTATTTTCAGCCAAAAACTGAAGCGTTTACCTTTCCGGATATATTTGTAAATAAAGCAGAGAAGCAGGAAAAGGAGGAAAAGTCACTGGATGAGTCGAAAGCTGGCTTTCGCAGGTTTTTGGATCGCAACAAGAAGCGACCTGGCACGCCGGGCTGGTACTCGATTTGAGCTATTAAGTTAGATGTAGTTTAATTTGTTTGCAACGAATAATAACATTTATTTCGAAAATCCCAGATTGAGTAAAAAGAATTTAAAGCTTAAAAACATGTCTGATGTTTCGGTCTGGACTCCTATTGCTTTGCGTTTTTCACCGCTGTGGCCACCCAGGCGCGTATTTTGTCCTCGTCCTGCAGCCCCACCATGCGCTGTACTTCCTTTCCATTTTGCATGATCACAAGAACGGGCACAGCGCCTACATCGTAATCCAGTGCTAACTCACTGTGCTCATCGATGTCAACTTTGGCCAGTTTTATGGAGCCTGCCTGCTCGCCTACAATGCTTTCGATGCGCGGCGTCAAGAGCTTGCAGGGATTGCACCAACTGAAGAGGAAGATCATATCAAACACTGAAGTAGAATATATTATGCTCTACACTTACGTTGCGAAGAAATCCACTATGACTGGCTCCTGGCTGTTCTTCACCTTCTTGTCAAACTCTTCGGGGCTTTGTACTTTGAAGATTTCTCTACGTTTCGGCGTCACTGAGAATGCGCGTTGATTATTGCGCACCTGTCGTGCCACATTTTCAAGCAGATTTACCATTTGTCTTTGCATTTTGAATTTTTTTTGTTCGTAATTATAAAGTTACGAGATTGTATGACAGTTGGAATTCTCAGCGTTACCAACACATTCGAAGCAGCTGTTTTGTTTTTATTACCTACCCAGTGTGACCACAATAAACCAATTTTAAAATACTAAAAGTTTAGTATGGCAATGGTAATTGTATTGGAATTACCGCAACTTCAATACTCTAACAGTTCTGGAAGCAATGCACGAAACATCATGTACATGAACAAAGCGAAATTTCGAAAAAAGAAAAGATTGCTATATATGTTTTGACATTATGGATTTCTTTGTTAAAAAAGATCACAATAGCTTTGTACAATAAATTCGATAGTCACATTTGCAAAGCTTTGTGAAACAGTCAGTACACATTGTTAGTGTGCAATTGAAAAGACCTCAAAATAAATTAATAAAATACCAAAGTATTTAAGAAAAGCAATACCTTAAAGGTACAAACTTTTTAAAATACCAACACACATACATTCGCAGAGACTCACACAGTAACACGTATTCGCGTCAGGCATAAAAATTGTAATATCAAAAGTTCAATTGATTTGATTGCATACTGAAATCAAATTTTAAGTGTTAGTTCCACCTCGACGGTTCGCTTGCAAGTTTTCCCAACGCGTTCAGGTGCTAATTGAGCATTCAAGAAAGAGAACACACGGTAATCGGATTCTGAGTGCAATTAGTGAGTGCCTCTCGAACTGCGCAAATGGCAAATAGCCATAGAAAGGTGGAATCAGCAGACGACGAACAGTAGTGCATACCCAGACGTACAACAATGGATGACCTGTCGCAGGGCGACATATGTCGCGTCTGCCGCTGCGAGGCATTGCCAGATAGACCGCTCTTCTATCCATGCATCTGCACTGGCAGCATCAAGTATATTCACCAGGATTGTCTGATGCAATGGATGCGTTACTCGCACAAGGAATACTGCGAGCTATGCGGCTACCGCTTCAGCTTCCAGCCCATCTACGCACCGGATATGCCGCGTGTCTTACCATTGCGTGATGTCCTGATGGGTCTGATGTCCGCCGTCTTAGAGGGCGCACGCTGCTGGCTGCACTACTCCCTTGTGGGCATGGCCTGGTTTGGTGTGGTTCCACTATCGGCATATCGAACCTATCGCTATTTGTTCCGGGCTAGTTCTTTTGATATGATTCTCTCGCTTCCGTTCGACATCTTCTCCATAGAGAATCTGGCTGCGGATGCTTTTCGTGGATGCTTTGTGGTAACTTGTACACTATTATCTTTTATTGGCCTGGTTTGGTTGCGTGAGCAAATTCTTCATGGCGGTGGACCTGATTGGCTTGAGCGCGACGAGGCACCAGCAGCAGCAGCAGTCCCAGCTGCAGCTGCTGCCGCCGCCGTCGCCGCGGCCCTTGCTCCAGATGTCGCTCAAGATGACAACAACAATGGCAATGCGCCACAGGATGTGCCCATGGACAATGCCGCACCAGCTGTGGCCAATCCGGCTGACAACGAGGGCGAAGGAGCCCAACCAGCAGCGGAGCCTGCTGCAGGAGCCGCGGCCGCTGGGGGCATCGCTGCTGCAGATGCCGACAATGATGAGCAAAACTGGAATCCAATGGAATGGGATCGGGCCGCAGAAGAGCTAACTTGGGAACGTTTACTTGGCCTGGATGGTTCACTTGTGTTCTTGGAGCACGTCTTTTGGATTATCTCGCTAAACACCATGTTCATCTTTACGTTTGCCTTTTGTCCGTATTGCGTGGGAAACTTTATACTAAGCTCTATGGATTTGTTGCAGCCCGAGAAGCCATTGCTGCATTTCCATGGACTGATCACCACGTTGTTTGGCTACTGTTGCATCGGACTGACCCTGGTCGTGCTTCACTTCTTTGCACGCGTCTTTCGGCTGCGTCGGATCTGCTGGTTCATTGGACTGTGCTACATTGTGGTGAAGGTATCGTTGCTGTCCGTGGTGGAGATCGGCGTGCTGCCTCTCATCTGTGGCTGGTGGCTGGATATTTGCTCGCTGCCGTTACTCGATGCCAGCCTCAAGGATCGCAAGGCCAGCTTCAAGGCCGCCCCGGGTACATCTCTCTTTGTCCACTGGATGTTTGGCATGGTGTATGTCTATTACTTTGCCGCCTTCATATCGCTGCTGCGCGAGGTGCTGCGTCCCGGTGTCCTTTGGATCTTCCGCAATGTCAACGATCCCGACTTCAGTCCCATTCAAGAAATGATTCATGTTCCCATTGTGCGTCACATACGCCGCCTGGTTGCCTCGGCCATGATCTTTGGCTTCGCCGTGCTGCTCATGCTCTGGCTGCCCATACGTATTCTACAGTTTGTCTGGCCCAATTTCTTGCCGTACGCTTTGAGCGGCGACTCGGAGGTGAATGATCTGAGCTTGCAGCTGCTCTTACTTCAGGTAAGTCCATACATATTGACATAGTTTGTCATGCTAAGACATCTTATTCACAATAGATTGTGCTGCCCGGATTCTTCGAGCAAACACAAACGCGCATTTGGTTGAAGGGACTACTACGTATCTGGTGTACGGCTGTGGCCTGGCTGCTTGGCATACGCAGCTATTTGCTGCCCGCACCGGAGCCCCAAGCAGGTGAGGACGGCGAGGCGGCTGCTCAGCCAGGGGAAGCCGGCGCTGCGGCTGGTGCTGCACCTCCGCCACCACCACCGCCACCTCCAATACCAGAGCCAGCACCGCCACGCAATTTGGCCGCCGCCCATCAGGCGATCATGCAACGTGATGTCCCGGTCGGTTTTCAGCCTTACGAACGACCTACATTCTTCACTCTACGCCTGTGTGCACTGCTCTCGCTGATGTGCTTGTCGATTGTGTGCGCTGCCATGGTCATACTAACTGTTCCCGTCTACATAGGACGCCGTCTGATGATGCTCTGGACGGGTCAACCGGGCGACAAGGCTGTTCCGCCAATCCCGGTTGACATGCCAGTGGCAGATCCGGAGGCGGCACGCAAAAACGAACGTCTGTTGCGTCCCCATGAGCTGTACACGGCCGAAATCGGAGGATATCTATGCTGGATTGTGTCCCGTGGCGTGGCTGTAGTTGTTACACTGCTGCCACAGGGACGGGCCGCCATCGTCAACAAGGTGAAGCAGTGGGCTCGCGTCGCTCTGCAATATGCTCTTCCTGTGCTGACTCTCTTGGGCATATTTGTGCTGGTGCCGTTGCTGTTTGGCCTACTCCTGGAGCTGGTAGTTGTCATACCTCTACGCGTGCAATGGCGCCAGACGCCCATACACTTCTTGTGGCAGGATTGGGCCCTGGGCGTGCTGTACACGAAGATCGCCATAGCACTCACACTGATGGGACCGGATTGGCATTTGAAGCGATCCTTGGAGCGCGCCTATACGGATGGACTGCGCGATTTCGACTTGAAGTTTGTGATGCGCGACCTGGCAGTACCGGTGGTGACTACATTTGGCCTAGCTCTGGCTATACCATATGTGATCGGCCATTCGATCATGCCGATCTTCTGCACCGATCCGTACACCCTGCTGGGCATCTCTAGACTCGTTTATCCAGTTAGCTTTATTGTTGTGGGCAGCGTTTGCTTTGTGCTCTTTCAGATAAAGCAACTGAAGAAGCTGTATCTGTCGATCAAGGTGGACAAGTATCTGGTGGGTCAGCGCCTGGTCAACTATGAGCACCGCAAGAAGCAGCAGGCACAGCAAGCGGCTGCCGCTCAGGAGCTGAAGGCGCGCCAAGAGGCCGAGGAAGCACAGCAGGCGCAAGCACAAGAGGGTGGGGGAGCAGTCGAACGCGGCGAGGAGCCACCATTGGATCAAGCCGAGCAGGCGGCGTTGCATGCGCGACGGCGTCGTGAGCAGCGGCCACGCCCACTGCTTGTGGATGCCAACGAGGAGCTGCTCTAGGGTTACGTCTATTTTATGTGCATGTTTATAATGGAGTCCCTGCTGATATATCTCTGTTTGATTCACACGCTTCATCCGGAACAGGCCATCTAATTGGATGGATGGACAATGAGCAGCTGCTGACGAACATCCAATACGAAGTAGTTGGAGGGGAAAGGCGCTTTAAATTAAAAAAGTTAAACAATTTTTCGTTTCTCTGCTTTAGCTTTTTATTTTTTAACATTAGCCACAATTGTTTGTTAAACTTTTTCGCTTTTAGGTCCTTAACTGTATGATAATTTAAGCCAGCCAGATATAGCCAATAATCACCATCCGATTTACTCAACCTATATTTACCATATTAACACTTTTCGATTTGCTTTGTAAAAAGTTTTGAGATTACGACAAAACGAAAAGTTGCAAAAAGGAAAACAAAAATATACTGAAATGAAATGATAAAACATGAAATCCAAGTATGGCACGATTAAATATATATATATATATAATAAAGGGGATTCACAATTAAAATATATATATATAAATGTGTGTAGAAAGTTTACCTTGTATTAGAATCTGATACGATATGTGTATTTACGAACATTATTTCCCGATAGCAAGAATATTTCAAATATAATAAAACAAAACAGATATATCTTGGTAAATGTGGTGAAAACTTTTGAGTAGCTTTACGAACTTGTAAAAAATATATATGTATGTATACATTTAATATAAAATGAAATATAATTAATAAATAAACTTAACTTTAAATTTCAATGGAAAGATCGTTAGTGTTTTGACTATGTGTGTTGATGTATTTACATATTCGTAATTTATTATTATTATTTGCCATGATATGAAAATGTCCTCAATTCTATATATGGAATATATGCACATTTGTCCGATTTGTATAAATTTGGTCATCTTATATCTGCGCAATTTCTCCCAGCTGCAAACACCTAGCGTCTGTCCTCCACAACGTTCCTCTCCAGAATGATAATTTCTACTTCTTTTCCATCGCCAAGTACGACCGATTGACTAATCGAGTCTCTGTGCAGAAAACGACACTACCCGAATAGCCCATCTCTCTCTCTCTCTCTCTCTCTCTCCCACACTCAGCAACACTCGAGACGGCGGTCAGTAACAGCTAAATGTAGTTTCTTTCCCTCTCACACACACTGACTAAAAGTTAGAGGATACAAGCGCTAGCTTACTTGGAGTTTAAAAAACTCTATTCAAACTCTCAGTCTCTCACTAATACTACTACATGATTTTGAGGGAATCGTGACTACGAGTTCGGTACGAAGACTCAGGCATTGCCGAAGACAATGAGCTCATGATGCTGCAGTGATCGTATGCCGAAGATCTAGCCTCTTGTAATATCTGCTCGTCTCCCAAATCGAAGAGGCCCACGAGAGAGCGTATGCTACGATTGAGCCCAGACAGGAGAAGATAAGCAAGTAAGGAAGAGATTATAAGTATATTTTGAGGTATGTGTGCACCACAATCAACATCCCACATACCCAACATCGATTGCTTCCTGAGCAAATGCTCTAAAAGCACTTTCTATAAATAGCATCCCATCCCAGCCCCTCCCATCCCATTGCATTCCAGTTTCTTAATACAACAGAAAAAAAAAAACGAGACATGGAAGATTACAAGGAGATTCGTAGTTTGCCATCTCTCAACGCAATCGAGTCAATCGCAGGGCCCACTTAATTAAACGACGGTTACGCAATCGCTGCACATTTCTTAGGCTTCCTGCTGCTGGTTGCTGACTGCTGTTGGCCACTTGATTATGTGCATTTAACGTGGCCAGCATGTTGCCTGGCTTTGTCATGATAATGCAACCAGCTGGACGACGTTATACGCTGACCGGACCAACCTCCAATCACTGACAATTTCAATTACGCTTGGAACAACATCGGCGGAGTGCGTGCCACGGGCGCACCATGAGAGCCTGCTGATGACTCAAATAAAGCGTAACACGCTCGTACAACAACAATTTGCATTATGAGCATGGGTTTAAATATACTCTTGTTTAGAAAGCAATCAAAGCAGTATATATATAGGGTTATATATATGTATAATGCATTATCTATATGAATGCTTCAGGCTTGAGACTTGGAATAAATGCTTCGGGTTTTCTTTGATTTATATGCTGGGCCGTGGCCAATCAGATGTAAATATATGTACATATCTTTAAGCTCAGATTACAAGTTATTAGAGTTACGCCCGTTGTAGGCGTGGCAAGTCGAAACACAGCTACGTCACATTGAGTCTAGCTTATGTATAATAGAAATGTACTATATTATAATGGGCGGATATTTAGGCGTGGCACATCAGAAAATATTTCATTGCAAATTTAATTACTTTTGGTATGTGAGCTTGAATTTTGCAGTCAAAGGTATTTAATCGTAATAACTTCAGGCGTTTTTATTATATTTCTCTGTGTTTTACTATTTTTCAAACAAAAAATTATAAAAAATGGCTTGTTTTAAATATTTAAGCTCAAACTTAAATAAAAATCCAATTTACTTAAACTAAATCTCCTGAGTGTCAGACCTGCTTAAAGCCAACATAACATAAAACATATCAAAACATACAGACACACACACACACATACATGCTTCTATACACCGAAATCCCAACATCCCCATCGGCTTGGCGTCCATTACTTTTAAGGTGGACCTTGCCCACACAGGAGTTATTTAATTTTTTAGCCTTTGCTCTGCTTTGCGCCCCGCCCACGCCTATGACCTCCGCATGCGTGCTTTATAGGCCATAATCGGGCAGCTGGCAGCACTTAGCACTCCTTAAGTTTAACAACTTCACGCACAATCAGCGACAAGAGCGAGTTGGTCTATGAGACGCAACTTCAAACTTCAAAAGCGGCCCAGACATGCCACAAAAAATTAGTACTTTATTGTATATATACATATGTATGTATATACTGAGTGTGCCTAAAGAAATTTAAGGTAACAGGTAAGCCCACAAGGCAGGGCCACAAAAGCGGGGTGGAAATACCATAAAATAAAAGCAACAACTATTCGAATGGATTGTTGACATCAAATATCAAAAGTCACTAAGGGTACAAGCCGCAGCGGTTACTGCTTTAACCCTAGTCAAAATGAAAGAAATATACACTATAAATACCAAAGAAAAAAAAAAAAAAAAAAACATTGCTATTTGTCTGCCCTTTGTAATAAAAGTTTTGTTGTATTTTATTTACTTTTTTCTCGTTTGCTTCATTAGATAACATAAGAGACTAGGGTGTGCATCTGTTACAACTAAAGGCTCCTGGTAATATTGAATACAATCTGATTTTAAACGCTGTTTAGTGTTTAAATTACTTGAATTTTGTTTAAACCTTAATGTATATGCTTAAATATATTTGGATTTAACTTAACTTAAAGGAAAAATGATAAAATAATTATATTTAAATGAAATATA